AGTCTCTCATGGGTCCCTGTACGGCCTCCCATTGCTGCTGTCTCCATCGCCACACTCTGCCATGTGCCACTTTCAGGTCTCCTCACACACTGCTGGTGTGTAGAATTTTTTGACATAGGGTGCTGGCAGATTACGGGCCTCCCATAGCTGCTGCCAGGCCCCTAATCTGCCATAGGCCCCTATATACCGCCTCCTCATGCTGCTGCCAGGTCCAGAGTCTCTCATGGGTCCCTGTACGGCCTCCCATTGCTGCTGTCTCCATCGCCACACTCTGCCATGTGCCACTTTCAGGTCTCCTCACACACTGCTGGTGTGTAGAATTTTTTTGACATAGGGTGCTGGCAGATTACGGGCCTCCCATAGCTGCTGCCAGGCCCCTAATCTGCCATAGGCCCCTATATACCGCCTCCTCATGCTGCTGCCAGGTCCAGAGTCTCTCATGGGTCCCTGTACGGCCTCCCATTGCTGCTGTCTCCATCGCCACACTCTGCCATGTGCCACTTTCAGGTCTCCTCACACACTGCTGGTGTGTAGAATTTTTTGACATAGGGTGCTGGCAGATTACGGGCCTCCTATAGCTGCTGCCAGGCCCCTAATCTGCCATAGGCCCCTATATATACCGCCTCCTCATGCTGCTGCCAGGTCCAGAGTCTCTCATGGGTCCCTGTACGGCCTCCCATTGCTGCTGTCTCCATCGCCACACTCTGCCATGTGCCACTTTCAGGTCTCCTCACACACTGCTGGTGTGTTAGAATTTTTTGACATAGGGTGCTGGCAGATTACGGGCCTCCTATAGCTGCTGCCAGGCCCCTAATCTGCCATAGGCCCCTATATACCGCCTCCTCATGCTGCTGCCAGGTCCAGAGTCTCTCATGGGTCCCTGTACGGCCTCCCATTGCTGCTGTCTCCATCGCCACACTCTGCCATGTGCCACTTTCAGGTCTCCTCACACTGCTGGTGTGTGTAGAATTTTTTGACATAGGGTGCTGGCAGATTACGGGCCTCCTATAGCTGCTGCCAGGCCCCTAATCTGCCATAGGCCCCTATATACCGCCTCCTCATGCTGCTGCCAGGTCCAGAGTCTCTCATGGGTCCCTGTACGGCCTCCCATTGCTGCTGTCTCCATCGCCACACTCTGCCATGTGCCACTTTCAGGTCTCCTCACACACACTGCTGGTGTGTTGAATTTTTTGACATAGGGTGCTGGCAGATTACGGGCCTCCCATAGCTGCTGCCAGGCCCCTAATCTGCCATGGGCCCCTATATACCGCCTCCTCATGCTGCTGCCAGGTCCAGGTCTGTCATGGGTCCCTGTACGGCCTCCCATTGTGCTGTCTCCATCGCCACACTCTGCCATGTGCCACTTTCAGGTCTCCTCACACTGCTGGTGTGTTGAATTTTTTGACATAGGGTGCTGGCAGATTACGGGCCTCCCATAGCTGCTGCCAGGCCCCTAATCTGCCATAGGCCCCTATATACCGCCTCCTCATGCTGCTGCCAGGTCCAGAGTCTCTCATGGGTCCCTGTACGGCCTCCCATTGCTGCTGTCTCCATCGCCACACTCTGCCATGTGCCACTTTCAGGTCTCCTCACACACTGCTGGTGTGTAGAATTTTTTGACATAGGGTGCTGGCAGATTACGGGCCTCCCATAGCTGCTGCCAGGCCCCTAATCTGCCATAGGCCCCTATATACCGCCTCCTCATGCTGCTGCCAGGTCCAGAGTCTCACATGGGTCCCTGTACGGCCTCCCATTGCTGCTGTCTCTCCATCGCCACACTCTGCCATGTGCCACTTTCAGGTCTCCTCACACTGCTGGTGTGTGTGAATTTTTTGACATAGGGTGCTGGCAGATTACGGGCCTCCCATAGCTGCTGCCAGGCCCCTAATCTGCCATGGCCCCTATATACCGCCTCCTCATGCTGCTGCCAGGTCCAGAGTCTGTCATGGGTCCCTGTACGGCCTCCCATTGCTGCTGTCTCCATCGCCACACTCTGCCATGTGCCACTTTCAGGTCTCCTCACACTGCTGGTGTGTTTGAATTTTTTGACATAGGGTGCTGGCAGATTACGGGCCTCCCATTGCTGCTGCCAGGCCGTAATCTGCCATGGGCCCCGTACCGACCGACTCCTCATGCTGTGACGTTGCAACAAGGTGGAATTCAACCCTACATATGTTAGACCGCCTTTACGAACAGCGAAAGGCCATCACAGATTTCCTGATGTTAAAGCGGATAAAGGTACTCCCTGTGTAACTTAGATGTCAGCCATTGGCAGCTCATGCGTGACACCTGCGCTTGCTCAGGCCCTTTGAGGAGGCCACGCTATTCGTGAGTCGGCAGGACTATGGGATGAACGACGTCATTCCTCTGTTGCACGTCCTGGAACAAATGCTGTTAACAATGGCTGGTCAGGGTGCGGTAGACGTGGCGCACAGATCTCAACGCCACATGACCCCTGTGGGGGCAGGACAGGAAGAAGAGGAGGAGGTAGAGGAGGACATTGGTGCTCAGGAATTATTGAGTGAAATGGGTGGTTTTTCCACTCAGCGGACAGGAGTGGAGGAGCAGAGCATCTGGTAGAGGAGGAGGAGGAGGAGACAGAGGACCCCAGACGCACCGTGGCAGTATGCTGTGTGGAGATGGAGGCAGGGAGTCCCTCGCATTCCTTGGCACAAATGGCCCATAGCATGCTCGCTTGCTTGCGTAGCGACAGCCGAATAATAACCATCAGACAGAGGGATGACTTTTGGCTGTCCACCTTGTTGGACCCTCGCTACCGTTCAAAAATGGTGGCCTTTTTCACACCTGCTGAGAGGGAGGCCAAAATAACGTACTATAAAAAAACCACCTATGTAGTCAGCTGGTCTCTGCCTGTCTGCGCCAACGTCCATCCTCAGACACTGTGGGCCCTGTGCGCTCGCGTTCCGCTGCCATGGCAGCAGGGGAGGGGTGGGGTGGTAGGAGCAGTGGCAGCTCCACCAGCAGCGGCTGCCTCAGTCTGCAGTCGATGATGAGTAGCTTTCTTCACCAGCGCAGTGAGGAAACTACTAACCAGCCGCAGCAGCAGCAGCAGCAGCAGCAGCATCAGGTGGACCTGGAGCAGGACCTCAAACAACAGGCTTAGGCCTACTTGGACAGCACCCTGCCAACCGAGGTAGACAATCCCCTTGACTACTGGGCAACGAAACTTGACCTTTGGCCCCAACTAGCTGAATTTGCCCTTGAAAGGCTGTCATGCCCGGCCAGTAGCGTGGCATCGGAGCGCGTGTTTAGTGCGGCAGGAGGTATTGCAACTCCGCGGAGGACACGACTGTCCACCCAAAGTGTGGAGAGACTGACGTTTGTGAAAATGAATCAGGCGTGGATTAGTCTGGATTTCAAACCACCAGTTCCTGACACAACTGACTAAATCCGCCATGAATCATGCCCCAAACTTGTGCCACTTTCAGGTCTCCTCACACTGCTGGTGTGTGTTACATTTTTTGTCATAGGGTGCTGGCAGATTACGGGCCTCCCATAGCTGCTGCCAGGCCCCTAATCTGCCATGGGACCCTATACCGCCGCCTCCTCATGCTGCTGCCAAGGTCCAGAGTCTCTCATGGGTCCCTGTACGGCCTCCCCATTGCTGCTGTCTCCATCGCCACACTCTGCCATGTGCCACTTTCAGGTCTCCTCACACACTGCTGGTGGGGAGGGGTTTTTTGTCATAGGGTGCTGGCAGATTACGGGCCTCCCATAGCTGCTGCCAGGCCCCTAATCTGCCATGGGCCCTATATACCGCCTCCTCATGCTGCTGCCAGGTCCAGAGTCTGTCATGGGTCCCTGTACGGCCTCCCCTTGCTGCTGTCTCCATCGCCACACTCTGCCATGTGCCACTTTCAGGTCTCCTCACACAACTGCTGGTGGGTTCCATTTTTTGTCATAGGGTGCTGGCAGATTACGGGCCTCCCATAGCTGCTGCCAGGCCTAATCTGCCATGGGCCCCCGTACCGAGCTCCTCATGCTGCTGCCAGGCCCGTAATCTGTCATGGGCCCCTGTTGTCGCTTGTTGGCACTCCGCTCGTTCAGATGCTCGTTTCCATGCGCCAGTACCTCTTCACGGATTCCCGTCAGCAGTGGTTTCTTGGATCCGTTTCCAAGAGAGGTTGGACCATGTTTGCGAGGGTGCGGACGGGTGCAGATTGAACGGGCTCGGGTGCCAAGTTGCTGCTGCAAGGCCCGTAATCTGCCATGGCCCTGTACACTCAATGCGGGCTGCTGCCAGGGGAGGGGTGCCACAGGTTTCATGGGGTGGAGGTTATCAGAGGGGACATTGCTGCTGGGGGTCCATCGGGGACCACTTGCCATGTTGCAAGCTTTCAGGTCTCCCTGACTTGCTGGTGGGTTCCAGTATTTTGTCATGGGTGCCCAGATGTACGGGCCTCCCATTGCTGCTGCCAGGCCCGTAATCTGCCATGGGGCCCCCGTACGCTGATCCTCATGCTGCATGCCAGGCCCGTATCTGGGGGTGTACAGACTGGGCCCCATGTAATCTGTCTTGCGCCTCATGCTGATGCCAGGTCCAGAGTGTGTCATTGGGTCCTGTACGGCGACCTCACGCTGCTTGTCTCTATCGCCACACTCTGCCATGTGCCACTTTCAGGTGCGGATCCTCACACTGCTGGTGGTTTCCATTTTTGGAAGTAGTAATGGGGTGGCTGTATGGGGATCCCATTGGATGCCTCCAACCGAGCCCACACTGTGGCTCCACACTCGGGGGGGGCGGGACCCCGCATGACTGCCCAAATGATGGTAGTGTGAGCGGGCCTGATGCTCTAGATCGAACGGCACTGGGCCTCTGCATGTCATACTGTGTGACAGTTGCAATTATTTCTCTTCCCCAGCAGATCTCCAAAGGGGCTTTTACTTTTAAATTAAAGGTACAGTGTTCTGACACTAATGGGGGGGGGGGTAATGCTATGTAGTGAATGGTGGGAGGGACAGGGGGAAGGGTGGAGGCCTCACATGTGTATGGGTTGGCCGAATTTTAAGGTGGGGGGGAGGGATTTGGGGCGGGGGACGGGGGGGGGGCGGGGGGGGGGGGGGGGGGGGGGGGGGGGGGGGGGGGGGGGGGGGGGGGGGGGGGGGGGGGGGGGGGGGGGGGGGGGGGGGGGGGGGGGGGGGGGGGGGGGGGGGGGGGGGGGGGGGGGGGGGGGGGGGGGGGGGGGGGGGGGGGGGGGGGGGGGGGGGGGGGGGGGGGGGGGGGGGGGGGGGGGGGGGGGGGGGGGGGGGGGGGGGGGGGGGGGGGGGGGGGGGGGGGGGGGGGGGGGGGGGGGGGGGGGGGGGGGGGGGGGGGGGGGGGGGGGGGGGGGGGGGGGGGGGGGGGGGGGGGGGGGGGGGGGGGGGGGGGGGGGGGGGGGGGGGGGGGGGGGGGGGGGGGGGGGGGGGGGGGGGGGGGGGGGGGGGGGGGGGGGGGGGAGGGGGGGGGGGGGGGGGGGGGGGGGGGGGGGGGGGGGGGGGGGGGGGGGGGGGGGGGGGGGGGGGGGGGGGGGGGGGGGGGGGGGGGGGGGGGGGGGGGGGGGGGGGGGGGGGGGGGGGGGGGGGGGGGGGGGGGGGGGGGGGGGGGGGGGGGGGGGGGGGGGGGGGGGGGGGGGGGGGGGGGGGGGGGGGGGGGGGGGGGGGGGGGGGGGGGGGGGGGGGGGGGGGGGGGGGGGGGGGGGGGGGGGGGGGGGGGGGGGGGGGGGGGGGGGGGGGGGGGGGGGGGGGGGGGGGGGGGGGGGGGGGGGGGGGGGGGGGGGGGGGGGGGGGGGGGGGGGGGGGGGGGGGGGGGGGGGGGGGGGGGGGGGGGGGGGGGGGGGGGGGGGGGGGGGGGGGGGGGGGGGGGGGGGGGGGGGGGGGGGGGGGGGGGGGGGGGGGGGGGGGGGGGGGGGGGGGGGGGGGGGGGGGGGGGGGGGGGGGGGGGGGGGGGGGGGGGGGGGGGGGGGGGGGGGGGGGGGGGGGGGGGGGGGGGGGGGGGGGGGGGGGGGGGGGGGGGGGGGGGGGGGGGGGGGGGGGGGGGGGGGGGGGGGGGGGGGGGGGGGGGGGGGGGGGGGGGGGGGGGGGGGGGGGGGGGGGGGGGGGGGGGGGGGGGGGGGGGGGGGGGGGGGGGGGGGGGGGGGGGGGGGGGGGGGGGGGGGGGGGGGGGGGGGGGGGGGGGGGGGGGGGGGGGGGGGGGGGGGGGGGGGGGGGGGGGGGGGGGGGGGGGGGGGGGGGGGGGGGGGGGGGGGGGGGGGGGGGGGGGGGGGGGGGGGGGGGGGGGGGGGGGGGGGGGGGGGGGGGGGGGGGGGGGGGGGGGGGGGGGGGGGGGGGGGGGGGGGGGGGGGGGGGGGGGGGGGGGGGGGGGGGGGGGGGGGGGGGGGGGGGGGGGGGGGGGGGGGGGGGGGGGGGGGGGGGGGGGGGGGGGGGGGGGGGGGGGGGGGGGGGGGGGGGGGGGGGGGGGGGGGGGGGGGGGGGGGGGGGGGGGGGGGGGGGGGGGGGGGGGGGGGGGGGGGGGGGGGGGGGGGGGGGGGGGGGGGGGGGGGGGGGGGGGGGGGGGGGGGGGGGGGGGGGGGGGGGGGGGGGGGGGGGGGGGGGGGGGGGGGGGGGGGGGGGGGGGGGGGGGGGGGGGGGGGGGGGGGGGGGGGGGGGGGGGGGGGGGGGGGGGGGGGGGGGGGGGGGGGGGGGGGGGGGGGGGGGGGGGGGGGGGGGGGGGGGGGGGGGGGGGGGGGGGGGGGGGGGGGGGGGGGGGGGGGGGGGGGGGGGGGGGGGGGGGGGGGGGGGGGGGGGGGGGGGGGGGGGGGGGGGGGGGGGGGGGGGGGGGGGGGGGGGGGGGGGGGGGGGGGGGGGGGGGGGGGGGGGGGGGGGGGGGGGGGGGGGGGGGGGGGGGGGGGGGGGGGGGGGGGGGGGGGGGGGGGGGGGGGGGGGGGGGGGGGGGGGGGGGGGGGGGGGGGGGGGGGGGGGGGGGGGGGGGGGGGGGGGGGGGGGGGGGGGGGGGGGGGGGGGGGGGGGGGGGGGGGGGGGGGGGGGGGGGGGGGGGGGGGGGGGGGGGGGGGGGGGGGGGGGGGGGGGGGGGGGGGGGGGGGGGGGGGGGGGGGGGGGGGGGGGGGGGGGGGGGGGGGGGGGGGGGGGGGGGGGGGGGGGGGGGGGGGGGGGGGGGGGGGGGGGGGGGGGGGGGGGGGGGGGGGGGGGGGGGGGGGGGGGGGGGGGGGGGGGGGGGGGGGGGGGGGGGGGGGGGGGGGGGGGGGGGGGGGGGGGGGGGGGGGGGGGGGGGGGGGGGGGGGGGGGGGGGGGGGGGGGGGGGGGGGGGGGGGGGGGGGGGGGGGGGGGGGGGGGGGGGGGGGGGGGGGGGGGGGGGGGGGGGGGGGGGGGGGGGGGGGGGGGGGGGGGGGGGGGGGGGGGGGGGGGGGGGGGGGGGGGGGGGGGGGGGGGGGGGGGGGGGGGGGGGGGGGGGGGGGGGGGGGGGGGGGGGGGGGGGGGGGGGGGGGGGGGGGGGGGGGGGGGGGGGGGGGGGGGGGGGGGGGGGGGGGGGGGGGGGGGGGGGGGGGGGGGGGGGGGGGGGGGGGGGGGGGGGGGGGGGGGGGGGGGGGGGGGGGGGGGGGGGGGGGGGGGGGGGGGGGGGGGGGGGGGGGGGGGGGGGGGGGGGGGGGGGGGGGGGGGGGGGGGGGGGGGGGGGGGGGGGGGGGGGGGGGGGGGGGGGGGGGGGGGGGGGGGGGGGGGGGGGGGGGGGGGGGGGGGGGGGGGGGGGGGGGGGGGGGGGGGGGGGGGGGGGGGGGGGGGGGGGGGGGGGGGGGGGGGGGGGGGGGGGGGGGGGGGGGGGGGGGGGGGGGGGGGGGGGGGGGGGGGGGGGGGGGGGGGGGGGGGGGGGGGGGGGGGGGGGGGGGGGGGGGGGGGGGGGGGGGGGGGGGGGGGGGGGGGGGGGGGGGGGGGGGGGGGGGGGGGGGGGGGGGGGGGGGGGGGGGGGGGGGGGGGGGGGGGGGGGGGGGGGGGGGGGGGGGGGGGGGGGGGGGGGGGGGGGGGGGGGGGGGGGGGGGGGGGGGGGGGGGGGGGGGGGGGGGGGGGGGGGGGGGGGGGGGGGGGGGGGGGGGGGGGGGGGGGGGGGGGGGGGGGGGGGGGGGGGGGGGGGGGGGGGGGGGGGGGGGGGGGGGGGGGGGGGGGGGGGGGGGGGGGGGGGGGGGGGGGGGGGGGGGGGGGGGGGGGGGGGGGGGGGGGGGGGGGGGGGGGGGGGGGGGGGGGGGGGGGGGGGGGGGGGGGGGGGGGGGGGGGGGGGGGGGGGGGGGGGGGGGGGGGGGGGGGGGGGGGGGGGGGGGGGGGGGGGGGGGGGGGGGGGGGGGGGGGGGGGGGGGGGGGGGGGGGGGGGGGGGGGGGGGGGGGGGGGGGGGGGGGGGGGGGGGGGGGGGGGGGGGGGGGGGGGGGGGGGGGGGGGGGGGGGGGGGGGGGGGGGGGGGGGGGGGGGGGGGGGGGGGGGGGGGGGGGGGGGGGGGGGGGGGGGGGGGGGGGGGGGGGGGGGGGGGGGGGGGGGGGGGGGGGGGGGGGGGGGGGGGGGGGGGGGGGGGGGGGGGGGGGGGGGGGGGGGGGGGGGGGGGGGGGGGGGGGGGGGGGGGGGGGGGGGGGGGGGGGGGGGGGGGGGGGGGGGGGGGGGGGGGGGGGGGGGGGGGGGGGGGGGGGGGGGGGGGGGGGGGGGGGGGGGGGGGGGGGGGGGGGGGGGGGGGGGGGGGGGGGGGGGGGGGGGGGGGGGGGGGGGGGGGGGGGGGGGGGGGGGGGGGGGGGGGGGGGGGGGGGGGGGGGGGGGGGGGGGGGGGGGGGGGGGGGGGGGGGGGGGGGGGGGGGGGGGGGGGGGGGGGGGGGGGGGGGGGGGGGGGGGGGGGGGGGGGGGGGGGGGGGGGGGGGGGGGGGGGGGGGGGGGGGGGGGGGGGGGGGGGGGGGGGGGGGGGGGGGGGGGGGGGGGGGGGGGGGGGGGGGGGGGGGGGGGGGGGGGGGGGGGGGGGGGGGGGGGGGGGGGGGGGGGGGGGGGGGGGGGGGGGGGGGGGGGGGGGGGGGGGGGGGGGGGGGGGGGGGGGGGGGGGGGGGGGGGGGGGGGGGGGGGGGGGGGGGGGGGGGGGGGGGGGGGGGGGGGGGGGGGGGGGGGGGGGGGGGGGGGGGGGGGGGGGGGGGGGGGGGGGGGGGGGGGGGGGGGGGGGGGGGGGGGGGGGGGGGGGGGGGGGGGGGGGGGGGGGGGGGGGGGGGGGGGGGGGGGGGGGGGGGGGGGGGGGGGGGGGGGGGGGGGGGGGGGGGGGGGGGGGGGGGGGGGGGGGGGGGGGGGGGGGGGGGGGGGGGGGGGGGGGGGGGGGGGGGGGGGGGGGGGGGGGGGGGGGGGGGGGGGGGGGGGGGGGGGGGGGGGGGGGGGGGGGGGGGGGGGGGGGGGGGGTGGGGGGGGGGGGGGGGGGGGGGGGGGGGGGGGGGGGGGGGGGGGGGGGGGGGGGGGGGGGGGGGGGGGGGGGGGGGGGGGGGGGGGGGGGGGGGGGGGGGGGGGGGGGGGGGGGGGGGGGGGGGGGGGGGGGGGGGGGGGGGGGGGGGGGGGGGGGGGGGGGGGGGGGGGGGGGGGGGGGGGGGGGGGGGGGGGGGGGGGGGGGGGGGGGGGGGGGGGGGGGGGGGGGGGGGGGGGGGGGGGGGGGGGGGGGGGGGGGGGGGGGGGGGGGGGGGGGGGGGGGGGGGGGGGGGGGGGGGGGGGGGGGGGGGGGGGGGGGGGGGGGGGGGGGGGGGGGGGGGGGGGGGGGGGGGGGGGGGGGGGGGGGGGGGGGGGGGGGGGGGGGGGGGGGGGGGGGGGGGGGGGGGGGGGGGGGGGGGGGGGGGGGGGGGGGGGGGGGGGGGGGGGGGGGGGGGGGGGGGAGGGGGGGGGGGGGGGGGGGGGGGGGGGGGGGGGGGGGGGGGGGGGGGGGGGGGGGGGGGGGGGGGGGGGGGGGGGGGGGGGGGGGGGGGGGGGGGGGGGGGGGGGGGGGGGGGGGGGGGGGGGGGGGGGGGGGGGGGGGGGGGGGGGGGGGGGGGGGGGGGGGGGGGGGGGGGGGGGGGGGGGGGGGGGGGGGGGGGGGGGGGGGGGGGGGGGGGGGGGGGGGGGGGGGGGGGGGGGGGGGGGGGGGGGGGGGGGGGGGGGGGGGGGGGGGGGGGGGGGGGGGGGGGGGGGGGGGGGGGGGGGGGGGGGGGGGGGGGGGGGGGGGGGGGGGGGGGGGGGGGGGGGGGGGGGGGGGGGGGGGGGGGGGGGGGGGGGGGGGGGGGGGGGGGGGGGGGGGGGGGGGGGGGGGGGGGGGGGGGGGGGGGGGGGGGGGGGGGGGGGGGGGGGGGGGGGTGGGGGGGGGGGGGGGGGGGGGGGGGGGGGGGGGGGGGGGGGGGGGGGTGGGGGGGGGGGGGGGGGGGGGGGGGGGGGGGGGGGGGGGGGGGGGGGGGGGGGGGGGGGGGGGGGGGGGGGGGGGGGGGGGGGGGGGGGGGGGGGGGGGGGGGGGGGGGGGGGGGGGGGGGGGGGGGGGGGGGGGGGGGGGGGGGGGGGGGGGGGGGGGGGGGGGGGGGGGGGGGGGGGGGGGGGGGGGGGGGGGGGGGGGGGGGGGGGGGGGGGGGGGGGGGGGGGGGGGGGGGGGGGGGGGGGGGGGGGGGGGGGGGGGGGGGGGGGGGGGGGGGGGGGGGGGGGGGGGGGGGGGGGGGGGGGGGGGGGGGGGGGGGGGGGGGGGGGGGGGGGGGGGGGGGGGGGGGGGGGGGGGGGGGGGGGGGGGGGGGGGGGGGGGGGGGGGGGGGGGGGGGGGGGGGGGGGGGGGGGGGGGGGGGGGGGGGGGGGGGGGGGGGGGGGGGGGGGGGGGGGGGGGGGGGGGGGGGGGGGGGGGGGGGGGGGGGGGGGGGGGGGGGGGGGGGGGGGGGGGGGGGGGGGGGGGGGGGGGGGGGGGGGGGGGGGGGGGGGGGGGGGGGGGGGGGGGGGGGGGGGGGGGGGGGGGGGGGGGGGGGGGGGGGGGGGGGGGGGGGGGGGGGGGGGGGGGGGGGGGGGGGGGGGGGGGGGGGGGGGGGGGGGGGGGGGGGGGGGGGGGGGGGGGGGGGGGGGGGGGGGGGGGGGGGGGGGGGGGGGGGGGGGGGGGGGGGGGGGGGGGGGGGGGGGGGGGGGGGGGGGGGGGGGGGGGGGGGGGGGGGGGGGGGGGGGGGGGGGGGGGGGGGGGGGGGGGGGGGGGGGGGGGGGGGGGGGGGGGGGGGGGGGGGGGGGGGGGGGGGG